TCAATTAAACAAAATATCAAAATTAACCAAATTTCTTGTTTATAGTTCGCTTTATAAGAGAGATCCACAGCTCTTTGGTCACAAACGTTGAAAAATCTGATTTCTCACAAGTGTTATTTAGACGTGCCATTTTTATCAGTTTCAGTGTGACACAGGTAGTATCGTGACGTGCTGCAGTACTGGTACTAACAGGGCATCACACAGGTGCAGGGGAAGTGTACACGTATCTATTTCACATCCACCTGAGAGTTCAGTGTAGTATAAACGTTTTAAACGTTAAAATGCTATTGCAATCTTCTTTTTCCTGAACACTCTTTGTATGTTTTTTTTCTCCAAATATGAGTAGTATCATGACTCTAGATTTGGAGTCTTTGCTAGTTTGTGACAAAAGATCTTCTGATCTCAATAATCCATCAAGCTGACGAAACTTTTTAAAAACATCATTCACCAAATCGGGTGAGTGGAGATGCTAGTCTATATGTAACTTGATAATGTTGCAGTTAACTGTAATTGTACTAAAAACTAACTTAACACAAGAAGCAGTATGTTTTATAATAATAACTGACAGTCAATATTAAAATGACAGATAATTAAACAGCGGTGGATTTTTTTTTGGAGGGTTCCCCCTTCGATTTCTGAAAAAAAAATCACACCAATGGTCCCCCTTTCAAATTAGAATTTTGATTAGCTGAATCATAGTTCTAAACGGTACCAAATGGCACCATTTACCCTCTAAAATACCAAAACTCTTGGGGTCCCTTTAGCGGACTCCCCTTCAAATAATCCTGGATTCTCCCCTGATTAAAGTTAACAAATTATAAAGAATTATTAGACATCATTTTGTCGTGTGCAAGACAAAAATTTACTGGACTTGCAAAGTGCAAGACATATGGTCTTCAAGCAATATCTGAATTTGACTGTTTTTCTCCCTTTTCTAAAATGGGAAGGGGTCCCAAATGATTTCAGGTGTTACAGCAATAAGCTTACCATCCAAGGCACAACTATGGCATTTCCAGCAATTGTGTAATGCACACAGAAAACAAAACTGAATTTAGTTTGCAATTAAATAAGCCCCCCCTCCCCCGCACACACACACACAAATAGGTCTAATGAGCACAAAATAAACCAAACCAATCAAGTTCAAAACAAGCAATTTCCATCCCTTTGCCTACATACATACAGTTATAGCCAGGGATGCCCCCCCCCCCAAGCTTCCCTCAATGTAATATCTGATACTGATACACAAGCTAGGGCAGAATGCACCTGTTCCTTTGATATTATCTTGGACCAGCCACACGTACCATGTGATGGGTGCAAGATATCATGATCTAATTAAACTTAAATGATTCCCTATACCAATATTTTCATATGTTCCCAGCTAAATGTCTACACAGCTTAATTTTCTTTCTTTTTTTTTTTTTTTTTTGTTAAAGCTTACATGATCTAAAACCAAAATTATATTATATTTAAATGAAAAGTTACATAACCTCTGCACTCAATTAATTAAGGGAAAATGCACTTACATATGTCAGTAATGGCACATGTACCTCTCTTTTCCCCAATTCTTCAAAGAATCCAATCCAACTAAAATATTATTCTAAATTTAATTGAAATTGCAAGAATACTCATTTTTGGACCCTGCTACATTGTAGGTAACTTAACATATTATCCCCTTATAGCAATAATAATGAGTAAATCCTGCAAACGATGCAGGTCAAACCCATGATGAACACCACCCCCTCCAAAATAAAAAAAAAAAAAGGTGAAAGACAGAGAAAGAAAAGGGTACAACGAATGAAGTAAGGCAAAAATGAGCAGTTTTCCTGTCTCTGAGCCCACCCACCCCAAAAATAAAAGAAAAAAGAGAGAAAGAGCATTAAGAAAAGAATATAATAAGTGAAATATATAGTAAAAACATTTGTCCTCATCTACAGTTTACATTTACATTATATTTGCCAAGTGAATGGTTCTCATCCTAAACGCCCAAAAAAGTGGAGATACCAGCTGAGGTACAATGTACATGTACTTCAAGGTTGAAAACTTGGGTAAAGTTTTCCACCACCAGTGTTATCTGTCCCCCCCCCCCTCCCCTCCCTCAGCTGGATCTCCAACTTTAGTGTATACTTGTCAGTATCTATACCTGGTTATCTGCAATAATTCTGATTATACTATAGAATACAGAACAGGCGGCAAACTTCTTACTAGCATTTTACCATCTCTAAAACTCCAAAATTATACATATATTATTTTATATATACTAAACAGATGCTGATGTTAGAAGAATATGTTTCGCAAATTATATAGGCATTCTTTTAACATCAGCATCTGCACTGCATTATAATCTTGAACATGACCCTTCTATAATTTAAAAATTCACTTTGGATTTGTAAAGAACAACAACTAAAATCCTTTTAAACTACAGAGTTCATGGTCAAGTTTCCACATTTCAATTTGAAACACTGAACAAAGTCTTTGAAAGGTTTTCACTTTATACAATATATGTGTTAGCTGGTGTTAATATTTGCTGTGGATGCTCACTGCAATCGATGGAAGTCTTATATTTCAAATCCTACTTGCCATAGAGCATACTTACTCTTAAGCAATGCTGAGACAAATAACGCTAATTTTGAGTAACTATTTAGCATATACTGGTAATATTTTCATCACCTCTTGTTATTACCGTAAAAACTATCAGCATATATTTACAGCTGAATAAAAAGACACACTTATAAACACTTAAATCAGTACCTTCTTGACTTTTCTAAATGTTCTAACACACATGCACATTGATCTGCAAGGATCCCTCTTCATATCCCTGCAATGCACATTTGTTGCAATTTATCTATATTTTCTAATATTTCTCAGTTTACACTTTCCACTACCAGCAAAATACATATACAATTACCTGCACATAATACTTTCTGTATATACACATCAAATTTCAAGTTCTTTTCTTAAAACAGTGGCAAAATTCAGTGATAAAATGTATTAAAAGAAAGCAATCTACTTACAAGTAACAACTGTCATGCTTTGTGTCCACAGGTTACCAACTGATTTTTCTCTACAATATAATGTACGTGGTTTCTAAAATGGTAAGGAATCTCAGTATTTAAAAAAGTGAAAAAATTCTTTGGACACAGACTATGAATAAAAAATAACAAGCATTGAATTATTATGACATTTTTTCTATTACTGCTATGTGCATCACCTGGTCTGGTTTCAGATGCGACTGATGCAAAGTGAATATATACTGTGCTCAGCCTCATAATAAATAATACAATGGTGATGAATATTCAGAATAAGAATTTATCTATAGAACATGTTTGAACACTTTAAATGAAAACAATCAAGTTTACATAATACTTTTTTTAAGTAAACAATAGTAATAAAATGAAAGTTCACAAAGCATATTAACCAAAATCTACACCATGGATGTACATATATTTCATATCATTTAATTTGCCACCTTTCGCTCTTATCAGCAAAAAAAAAAAAAAAAAAAAAAAAAAAAAAAAAAAAAAAAAAAAANAAAGAAAGCAATCTACTTACAAGTAACAACCGTCATGCTTTGTGTCCACAGGTTACCAACTGATTTTTCTCTACAATATAATGTACGTGGTTTCTAAAATGGTAAGGAATCTCAGTATTTAAAAAAGTGAAAAAATTCTTTGGACACAGACTATGAATAAAAAATAACAAGCATTGAATTATTATGACATTTTTTCTATTACTGCTATGTGCATCACCTGGTCTGGTTTCAGATGCGACTGATGCAAAGTGAATATATACTGTGCTCAGCCTCATAATAAATAATACAATGGTGATGAATATTCAGAATAAGAATTTATCTATAGAACATGTTTGAACACTTTAAATGAAAACAATCAAGTTTACATAATACTTTTTAAGTAAACAATAGTAATAAAATAAAAGTTCACAAAGCATATTAACCAAAATCTACACCATGGATGTACATATACTTCATATCATTTAAATTGCCACCTTTCGCTCTTATCAGCAAAAAAATACCTATGACTACAACTTCATGTATGTTCACTCTCTTTTACACTGTATATACAAACTAAGGTTCACTTCAAACTCCAACAAAAATCTATTTACATATTTTCAGTATACTAAAACATGCATATGGCAATAAAAGCAAAAAGGAAAATATTATTTTACAATGAAGATGTTTTTATCCATCTTTTCAATAAAGAAAAAAATTTTCCTGTCATAGGAAGTTTTCTGTATATATATACCTGTAATGCAATATCCAAAGTACACAATGTTTTTCATTGATCACCTAATTCAAAATTAGTTTCATTTTTTCAAAGACAATAATTCTCAACATGTCTGCGTATGTCCACCAGGTTGAAGCAATCCTGTAACTTGACATTAAAATATCCTTCAAGACAATGTGCTCTGTGTAATAAAAAAAACATTGATTAATTAAATAAAAAGAGAAGAAATTTACATTTTTCTGTCCATTGGCACACCTTCTTCTGTCAACAATGTCTCGATCTCAGTCAGCAGTTGGCTCGTGATGTCCACAGCTTGTGTTGCTGTGTCCATGTTGTAGACCTCATGTGGTAGACCACCACACCTGTCAGGGTAGCGCATGGCAGTGGAATGTGTGAGGAGGGACTGGAGACGTCTGGAAAGCTGTGAAATAGTGGAGCAATTGTCTGCAAGGTTATGTCCTGTCACTACCATGGCTCTCACCGGAATAATACTTCTTATGGTATTCTCACTCCTGTCTGGCACGGTGCCCCATTTTGGGGTAAAATTGATTAAACACATCTTCATATGTAGTGCGTGACCTTCTAGGGCCAGTTGTCTGAGCTGATGATGAAGATGTTTGTTGTGTATCTCTGTCAAGTGTAGCTATTTCACTCTGAATGAATTTGCATGCTTCATTGCAAATATCTTCTTGGCCAAGGTTTTTGTCTGGGTGATACTTTCTGAGAAGTCTCTTGATGACTTTTTTTCTCTCATTTTCATCAAGTTTTCCAAGCAGCCTCCAGTATTTTTCTGATATCTTCCAAAATGTCCTCGATACATGTTGCAGAGAAGTCATCCTCAGTTGGAGTTTTATCATTAAAAGCATCATTATTCGAGATATTTTTTCGTGTGCGTTTAAATTTGTACAGGTCATTTCCAGTCACAACAAGGACATCATCCTCTTCACTCCCAATTCTTATTCTGTATCTCCTTAGCACATTTGAGGTTTGAGAGTCGGCATCTTCCATGATCTCTTCTAGCACAATGGCATATATGTATGTCGGAAGGCCCTCAAGACTCTTCAACAATGGATCCTCTACTTCATAGCCTACGTATTCACCACATTCAAAGCGGTGAAAATTCTCAGATAGCAGATGCTGGTCTTCTATGTGAAGGTAAGTGCCAGGGGTGGGTAGAACACTGGTGCTTGAGCAATAATCATCTGGTGGAATGCCCTGATCATCCAAATATCTTGAAATCTCATCAACTGTTTCATCTAGGATATGGCACAGGTGATGGAGGGAAGTTGACAGTCTCCCTTTCGATAAACTGTTTAAGATTTCAACAAACCTGGGTGAAAAGCTGCGCATCTGAAAATTGCTTTTTAAATAAAAACAATGAGACTGTTGCCCACAATGGGCCTTTTGGTAGAAGCACATTGGTGTTATCTCGCTACCAGACAAAACCTTTCCTTTGTATTCTAAAACAGTGGTCAACTCTGTTACAAAGTGAAGTTTGATGTTTTCAATGTTTTCTTGTAGCTCATCTCTGTCCTGCTGACTCACAGTGAAGCCTTGTGTTTTACCAGCATGACGAAGGAGACGCAATACTGCCTGATAAAAATTTTCTGATTGTAACTTCCATTTCAAAGGATGCTCTGCAAGTTTGTTGATGTTTGGTTCAGATTGAAGTTTCTCTTTGACAACATCAGTCAGATATCTAAGGCGCAAACATTCTGGCAAACATTCAGCAACATCGCTGTATGATGGGACCTCAAGTCCAAATTCTTCCTTAGAAGGGCGAGCAAGCATGGGTTCTTCCAATGGAAATTTCTGCAGTCGGTCAAAATGGGACATGTTATTGATGAAGATAATGTCCTTGGACTGCCTCAGTTCCCCAGCAGAAGTGAGCAAGTATAACAGTTTTACCTGCTCTGGCCATTCATCCCCACTGTGAAGTTTTTTAAACAAAAAGCCCATTGCTTTCAATGCTGTTTTCTTTTCATTTGGTTCCAGTTTTTTCCCTTCGGTATCTTTATGAATCATTTCCAAGACATTGGCATACTGATAGAAGGAGGGTCTATCTGTGCTGCCTATTAGCTTGAAGACCTCCTTACAACCAGCATACTGTGAAGGCACAGCATAAAGATAAGGCTTTATTTCTTCTTCTTCCAAGCACGAAGTAGCAACTTGATTCGGATAAACAAACCTTTTTCCATCCTGTACTAAAATGCATTCTAATTGTTGCAGCTGATGAGTCCAATTTGGATTTTCTTTATCTTGGCTTTGATAGTTTTTCCAAGTGCTGATATATCTGCCCCATAATTTCAGAGAGCAATTTAGATTCTTCTGATGTCAAATGTTTGACTTGCTCTTGCAAATTTCGGCACACATTGCAGCAATGGTCTATCACCTGTTCCAAGGAGGGGATTTCTTTCACTCCAAGGATTTCACACAACTTCCTGTCCCTTGGTTCTGCCCAATGTTCCAAGAATGAAACACTTGTCCATGACAAATGTTCATGTTCCTGCTTGTATGAGACAGCGCCATTGAAGCAGATGAAAGGTCTCACTGTTTCTCCATCCATATTGCCACGAGGGCACAGCCTCTGAAGGTTGCTTGGAGCAATCATTTGGGGTAGAAAGGCCACATCTTTTATAATGTCCAATAAGTGATCATCATTTACAACATTCTGTCTCGAAAAAAGATGTGTAACTACTACATGTGCCTGCTTTTCTCTCTTACTGAATTCTGCCTTATTTTTACTTTTGCATGCAAGACTAGCCTCCCTTTCAATGTCTTTGGCAAAACCAATGAGCTTCTCTGGAGTGACTTGTTGCTGTAAACCTATCTCACGCATCAAACGTAAAATTGCTTCGGATCTAAAAGCCTCCGATGGAAAATCTCTGTCTGTAAGCATAGTTTTAAATACTTTGTTGTAAGGATCATAGAAAACGCTTGCATTTGCCAGGGTGCCAGGAACTGAACTTCGTCTATCAGGTAGCAACTTCACAAGAGAAAGTTCATTAATCAGCCTGTTCCAATCACCTTGACAAATTCTGTGGCGTAATTTGACGGATATGAACTCCAAGTGTTGAATCCTTCCTTCTTCTGACAAATTTTCAAAAATTGGAAATATAAAATCACAGTACATTTCACACTCGGAGAGTACTTTACAGCCCAACCATGTGTAAAGTGACTGTAACACTACATTGGGTTTCAGGAAAGCCAAATGTTGACCACCTTCTTCTATTAGCTGCATGCCATCTATAGGGATAGAGCTCGGTGCAACATAAGTGGTTTTTCCTTCAATGCTGATAATTTCATCTTTCGCAGTTAAGAAAAAAGGAAAACTGCACAATTTCCATTTCAATTCAGGATTGCTTTTCATCACTTCAAGATTCTGACAAAAATATCCTAATATAACCTCACATTCTTGTACATTTAGTCTGCCTGCTAGTTTGTGTTGTTTGGTTACCCCTTCTAATGCACTGACCATGGTACTTGGATCACTAGGGTTGCCAATTATAGCACGTGCGGTCTTACCAGAACCTTGAAGTACAGCATGGGCTAGCTGTGGAACACCCAACTTTTGTAAGACACCTTCCCCATTTCTGAGGAAGTAATGGAAGAATCCACAGCTGTCTATAACTTCACGGGCTCGTGACATCTGAAGCAAAAAGAGCTCATTTGTAGATTGCTCTACAGTTACTGGCAAGAGACACCAATGGGAAAGTGGCTTCAATAAAGATATAATTTTGTTGCCTTCAGTAACTCTACCAGCCTCTGAGTGAAAGTATGTCCACAGTAATTGGATCCACTCTTTTGACGGAGCCTCCAAATCCCACTGAATCATACCCCCATTTCGTAGTCTTTCTGGTAAGGCAGATGGTAGCCTTTTTGCAAGATCATGTACCTTAAATTTTTTGAAAATTGACCTTTCTTGGTATGTACAAAAAATTTTTTCTTCCAATGTCCTATGACAAAAAGATGCAGCATCCAAAGGCAGCAAGTTCGAGAAACGTGAACAAAATACAGGTGTTTCGGAACTAAAGGTCCTCAGCTTTTTGTCCTCAGTTGCAAGCAATGGAGAGCCCTCAAGCAGCTGCACAAAATTGACAGATTTCTTGCAAAACTCCAACATGGTGCAAAGGTTGCTTACATTTCCAAAGATGGTTTTTCCAATGTCTTCTGGAAGATCTGAGCATGAAATGAAACACAGCCTGTCAGGTCTTTGGTAGGTTTGAAAAAAATGAAGCACAGCTTCTCGACTAACAGTTTTCACCTGGACGTCTGCATCCTGATAATTTCTGTATATTGACATTGGGCAACATGAAAGATTGAAATTGCTTTCACATAAAATTCTTCTAACAATTTCACTGGAGGTTGGTTTTTGCCTTACTGATGACCCTCTGGACCAAGGTCCTGGTTCCTGAATCTGGTTATCTAAATCGTCAAAGAATACTCCATTTTTTTCACTTCCTGTAGGTGGAAACCACGCAAGTTCAAACCCCGTCTCATTCACTCTTGCATGACGCAAAACTGGAAGAACCCTCAGATGAAGTTCGCTGGTCAACTGGTATACTTTTTGAGACATATAGCGTGTGTATTTCTCCTGATGCTTGATATCAGGAAAGAGCTCATAATACTGGCTCAAAGATTTTCTTATCTCATTCTCATCACCTCCAGAGACTTCTTCCATGATAATCTCCTTGTTTTGCTGAAGCATATTAGTGTAGCAAGGGGCAACAATTTGCTCCATTACTGTGTTGTTCCACTCAGTTTTCACATCAGCATTTTCACTGTCCATCCAAAGGTTTCTCCTGGCTTCATGATCCAGTGCAAAGTGACCATTGATATGAACAGGGAGGTTTGTTATCAGTGGGAGTGGCAGGAAGCAAAATAACCTGCTTTTTGGGAGGTCAAATTTCTCTGTCGGTAAACTTTCAGGTTGAAGCAGATATGCTACCCCTCCACGTGGCAGTAGTCCCAACTCTTTGTACCGAAGGGCTTTCTTTAAAGTTGTAGAAATCGAGCTTGGATACCTAAAGCCAAACTGTTGGGTGATAAGCCATGTTTCCAATCTGCCTTTGTTGTCTTCCAAGGACATTGTGAAAGAAACATTGATGGGATGCAACTGGTCTACTGTCAGTTCTTGTGTTTTCAGTCTCTCTGTGCTGTTCACCATTTCCTGTAGAAAGGACTGCTGTGCCTGTGTATGTTCAGCACTGAGACGGGCCTCAACACTGTATGTGTTCTGAAGCTTTCCAGTGACCATATTTACTTCTGAGATGCTTATTTTCCTAATGTTATTGAGAAATAGCATCATCAGAAATAAATCGCCCCGGAATGTTTCCATGAGGGACTGCATGTCTGGAATGGTAACAGGTCTAGGTTTTATCTTGGATTGTCTGGCCATGTCTTCATTCCTGAGGGGCAATCGGAACAAGGTAGCTTCCTCCATTGGAAAAGATTCTCTCATGTTATCCAAGTAGCTTGTAAAAACATCTGGGAAAGACTTTCTTAACTTTGGAATGTCAACATAACGGATTCCAGGCTCTGCAATAGAAGCACCTGGCACATAAATACAATGTGGATCAAAGACACACAATGTTTCTCCAATTTCCTGTCCTTTGGTTAAGAAAGATGGGGCATCTGTGAGATGATATACAGCATTGAAACCAACCCCATACTGCCCTGTTTTGTTTGGATCTTCACTCTTGCTTCCCTGACCTAGATTCTGAATACCCTCTATGTCTGCTTGTGTAAATGGACTATTGTTGTAAACACACAAAGCTGGTCCCTGCAATGGCTGCCAACAATCCTCAAAGATGCGCTTAGTGGAATGGGTTCTGGGATCTAAAACAAAGTGAACTTCAGTTGCCTTTGCATCATCTGCATTTTGCAAGAGCTCTTTCAGGACATCCTGGTCACAGGGGTATCCTTCTAGTATTCTCTTGATTCTATTTGTAAGTTTTTCCTTTTGACCAAAGCCAATTCCCATTGAACATTTTCTAAGCTTTTCTCCTCTTTTTGTCTGAACACCTAGGCCTATAGCAACATGACGTGGGATGTTTTTGTGTGCACAATGCATGTTATCATCATCATTCTCAAGCCATTGGCAATCATCAAAGCAAAGTTGCTTTGCTTCAGACATCACTCCATCCTCATCTGGTAAATAAATAGGCCCATTTTTATCTTCAGTTGATTTCAGAATCGTTGTAAGGGGTGCATTCTTAGTTTTTACCTCATGGTCAATTTTCTCCTGTAATGCAAACGCAATTTGAAGTATATATGATGGTAATGATTTTTTGTTGTATGTTTGATGTGGTGCCCGTAGGGCTTTTATATAATCTGCAATATCAAAGTCTTCTCGGACACCAGCAGCTTTCATGACATCATAGAAGTTTCTCCAATCATAAGGGAGCTCAAAAAGAAGTGGTTCAAATCTGGGATTGGAATGGAAAATTACTTTACTACCTGAAACAAACTCTTGTGACTGCGGAATGTACACCCCACTTCTCTCTTGCAGTGCATTACTGATAGTGGGCTGCTGAGCAGGTTCCTTTTGCAGTAAATCATTCAGATACTGATAAATGTCCTTTATTAGACCTTTCAGCTTGTTTTCAAACTCTCCACACTTTGGGGCAGCTGCAATTGTCTCATCAAACTGGTGCCATACCTGTTCAAGTTTGACATCTGTCTGAGATTGTATTTTGAGAAACTTCTCCACACTTCTCATCATTTCCAATTCCTCCCTGTTGATAACAGCAGCAGTAGAAGATACCAAAGATTCCACATCTATTGAAAAGCATTCTTCTGGTGCAGCAAGATTGTTGTGATTGCCTTTCCAAGGAAGTGGGTAACCTTCTGGTTTTGGCTTAACTGGAAGGAATGGTACTTTACATAATAGACCACTGAGTTCAATATTCAATTTACTATCTTCTTTTCCACTCAGCCTCCTGTCTAGGTACTGCAATATCTCCTTCACTCTCTCTACTCCTCTCACATTATCTGTTTGATGGAGCCCAGCAACACTTTTGGCTCTCTCCAAAATCTGCTCACAGCTGATGTCTTTAAAAATGCCAAGTTTTTCCAATACCAGAAGGCGTCGTGGGTTCAGGTATGACCTTTCAGTTCCTTTGATGAATATCCCATCTTCCTCATGATACAATGAGGCAGCTCTGCTATCTGGGTGCATGAGATCACAGGGTCGCTTCAACTGCCCATGTGGTGTGGAAGGAATGCAGGAATGTTCCTGCAACAGTTTATCGAGATATTCATCTTCCTGGTCAATTGCATTAAGTATCAATGCATCTCTGACATCGTCATCAAGAGTGTTAATGTTTGGGAAAACTGCTTCTTTGTATAATCTGTGAAGGTCAAACATGATTTTTCTTTGAATCTCTCCAGGGGCAAATGACAACATGGTTTTCATGGTCTCACTGGGAACTTTTACATATATTTTTCCCTTCTCCTGGAGATAATCTTCTAATATTCTTTCAGCATGGCTCACTACATCTGATCCCTTGACATCTTCTGAGAGGATACCAACATTGTGGACATTTTTCCACATTTCCCCATTTGAAAATAAAGCGGGCGCCTGCTGTTCCTCTGTGAAAAATAAGGAGGCATAAAACTGCTGCATAAGAGGTTCACATACTGGTTCGTATGTGCTCCCACAGGTTGGCCACAATTCGCTAAAGCTGTAAGACGTGCCATGTGTTAACTCTTTCAAGTCCTCAAGACAAAATAGAAGTGCTTTGGGAATGACATCCTTCAAGATGACTTGGTTCCATTCTGCTCCTTTTGAAACTTTATCATCAGTGGTTTTCTCAGTTAGATGTTTGCGGCTGGACTCTACAGAGAAGCTTCCATTGACATGGAATGAGAATCCACTGGAAATTGGAAGAGGAAGATAACAAAAGAATGTTCCCTTCTGAGTACACACTGGTGCATAGCTTATGCTGCCTTCAACACTGCACTCCTCCAAACGCACCGCCACTCCACCTGTAGGTACAAGACCGGAACCCTCGCACATGGTCAACATCTGTGATGTGAGTTTCCCCATGCATGAAGTAACCAGCCAGAAATCATTTCTTTCATCAGTTTTAATAATACTCACACTACCTGCATCCGTTTTGGAGGAAATTTCAAGGACAAGGGACACTGTTGGATTTTGTGTGTCTTCAGGTATTGGGGCTGATTCAGCTGATTGGAGGGCTTGGGTTGAAGCTCTTAAAATTTGTGTTGGCTGAAGCTCTGGTAAATGCAAACATCTTATCACTTTTGAGATGTTCTTTGTTGTTTCATAGATACACTGCATCATTGATGGGGTTCCATCCTTGGGGAGGTGATAAATTGATATTTTCTTCACATTTTGAGTAAAAAGTAGAACTTCTGAACAAGAATTGACCAACTTCTGAAGAAGCACTTGCACTTGTTTTTCATCATAATGCACATCGCTGATCTCACTTTTATAGGATTGTTCCTTTGTCCGTAGGGGAAATCTAAACAATGTTGCATTGTAGCTAACCATGCAAGATTTGGCAGTGGAATCAAGATTGCAGCCAAAAAGCCCATTAAAAGGCTTGAATTGGTTCTTCAATTTCTGAAGCTTTTTTCCGTTTTTTAAATTAATCTTTATTCCTGGTTTCGATCTTGCTGCTCTTCCCAAGTGTTTCATATGAGGATCAAGGATGGCTATACTGTCATTGCTAATGAAACTTGGGACATCAGTTAGATTGTAGACTGCATTGAACCCAAGTCCAAATTTGCCAATTTTGTCACTCATCTTTTCTTTGGTTGCACCCCCCAGCTGAGCAAGGTTTTTGAAATCTTCTTCTGTGAACACAGCATCATTATAGGCCCAGAGAGCAGGTCCTTGGCAACTTCGCATTCCATCATCTATCAAGCATGTCTGGGCATCTTCATTTTCTCTCTGGTCATACAGAAACTTCACTTCTTGGGCTCCTGCATCATCAGCATTTTGTATAAGTTCCTTAGGAACAGATAAACCATCTGTGTAACCTTCTTTAAGCAGGTTGTGAAGGCGACGGGTCAGTGGCTCGGATTGGCCATAGTTCATGTCCAACCCTTCTGCATCTAAAATACGACTCATAAGGGTTGGTACACCTAACTTTTCACTAGTTTGCATTGGGACATGCTCATGGACAAAGAAGATAGATTCTGTTTCTTCATCACTAAAATCAGTCACATCATACCCTTGCTGCAGCCAGTCCATATCACAGTAAGTGCACTGGGAGACCGACTTAAGGATGAGGGTGGATTTGTCATCACTATGAATAGGCACTAACAGCACATCTTGCAGGCGGGTTACTGTCACCTTGTCCATTGACTCAACAATGTGCAACAGATCAATAATGGTCTGAAGATCTCTCTGTGCATCAAGATCTACAGCATTGCTGGTGGTCATCTGGGACTGGACCCTTTCTTGTTGGTATTTGATTTGGATATTGGTTTGCACCTGCAGAATGATTTCAAGTTTATCTTTTGGTTCCACACCATACTGGCAAAACTGTTTGCTGAATTGCTCTACTTCCCTTGGAAGGACAAATAAATGAGGGTGCAGCTGAATCCCCTGTAGTTCTGAAGGAATAAAAGGGACAACATCTTTTGATGAGGAAAACCCATCCCCATTCCAGATCCATTTCTGTGAGGTGGATTTCAGGCCTTCGTAGGGAACATCCCCCCTAACTGAATGAAACAATTCCCCATAGATATCTAAAATCATTGGCAGAAAGACTCCCTTTTCTCTGCTGGTATAATGGCTTACTACCTGTTCTAACTGGGCAATGACTTTTGGCATGGTGGGCCTTTCATTCCATCCAAATTCATTGGCAATCTCTTCATTCACAACCTCATCGGAGACATGCCCCACAGAACCTATCACATTTTCATAGATGCTGCTGCACAACTCACTTGGACTTAAAAAGCTGCAATCCAATGGACCCCACGGCAAAGAATTGGGATAATTCTCTGGCCTTGGCTTGACCTTGATAAACCTGGTGCTTTTCAAACTGCCTGAGAGCGTGTTTCCATTTTCTAGCTTATTCTTTAATATTGTTGGTCTGGATCTTAAAATGGTCATAATTGCTTCTGATTTACCTATCAAAAGTTTTTGCGTGGCAGATCCCACTGTGTATGAGCTGTGAATGTACTGAGCTGCCTTGTAAATGTCTTCTGCAGCTATTTTTTCTCTTTCTGTCTTCAATCCTAACCTCTTCAGAGCTGCATGTAATTGGGGTTCATCCTTATAATGTCCAGTTGGAAAGACGTCACATACCCCATGAAAGAGATCATATACAACTGAATCATGGTGATCAAACAATTGGCTTGCTTTAAATCTTTTTCCTGATTCAGTTGGAACAAATGGAATGTCTCTCACCATTTGGTATATATATTCATCTTCATTCATGTTGATGGTCAGTACCTGCTTCATCAAAAGATCAATCTCTCCCCTTTCCTTGTACCACTCAATATCTGCTAACACAATCTCTTTTAGCAAGTCATTTGTGTCCAATATTGTCATTCCTAATTGCTGTATAAGCATTTCAGAGTCTGTTCCTGACGCATCAATAAACTTACAACGTAATGAAAAGCTTGGACTTCGATGTAAGGCATCCTTTGCCTCATGGAGAGAAACTGTGGAAAATTCTATTCCACCAACAGACCTAAAGATTGGAAGTCTCATAAGCAATTCCTTGTGTGACTTTATGTCATGTGCAGAGGCTTCAGAGAGAAATTTTCTGAGCTCATCCTTCTCTGCCAATGTCCATTCTTTCATCATTTCTAAATTGGTTTGGGTCTGCACATTTGAAAGAGCCTGCAGAACACCTTCAGGTGTTGGAGGACTTATGTATTTTGGCACAACAGCATGGTGATCTTCAATAAATTTGGGGAGATTCTTAAATACAATTACCCCCAAAGCTTTAAGTCTGTTAGCTAAACCATCATCAAGTCTGCCCCCTTTTATCAAAGCAGGCAAAGCAGAACTCAGCTTCACAATTCTACAAGAAGCCAAATCAAGCAGAATGTGTAAGCCTTCAAATCTGGAGAGATTGTCAGGGAACTGCAGGGTCAGGTACCCCCACACCATCTTAAGCCAGCTGTGAGTAGGATGGTTGGTGGACTTCGGATCCCAAGGCTTGGTGTTGTCTGTGCAGGGGTTGAAAAGTCTTCTGATCAATTCCGACATTGAAGTCTTGTCTAGAATTCTCAACTGGGTTAATCCTAAAGTGAAAGAAAAATGAAAATTCATTTTTTCAAATGTTCATTGTTTTTCAAATTGCAGTTTTTATTAAATTTGTATTTCATAAATAATATATATCAATGACAGCATGCATAATTGGCATATAGAGACATCCATAAAATCATTTTTTCTTGCAGAGTTAACACCCATTTCATATGGTGATAGTCACAGTTCAATTGTACACATATGGCAACAGCAGTGATTGCGAAAGCCGTCGGACCACGGCCATATGNAGGAATGTCTCTCACCATTTGGTATATATATTCATCTTCGTTCATGTTGATGGTCAGTACCTGCTTCATCAAAAGATCAATCTCTCCCCTTTCCTTGTACCACTCAATATCTGCTAACACAATCTCTTTTAGCAAGTCATTTGTGTCCAATATTGTCATTCCTAATTGCTGTATAAGCATTTCAGAGTCTGTTCCTGACCCATCAATAAACTTACAACGTAATGAAAAGCTTGGACTTCGCTGTAAGGCATCCTTTGCCTCATGGAGAGAAACTGTGGAAAATTCCTGTCCACCAACAGACCTAAAGATTGGAAGTCTCATAAGCAATTCCTTGTGTGATTTTATGTCATGTGCAGAGGCTTCAGAGAGAAATTTTCTGAGCTCATCCTTCTCTGCCAATGTCCATTCTTTCATCATTTCTAAATTGGTTTGGGTCTGCACATTTGAAAGAGCCTGCAGAACACCTTCAGGTGTTGGAGGACTTATGTATTTTGGCACAACAGCATGGTGATCTTCAATAAATTTGGGGAGATTCTGAAATACAATTACCCCCAAAGCTTTAAGTCGGTTAGCTAAACCATCATCAAGTCTGCCCCCTTTCCAACAAGTTATCAAAGCAGGCAAAGCAGAACTCAGCTTCACAATTCTACAAGAAGCCAAATCAAGCAGAACGTGTAAGCCTTCAAACATGGAGAGATCGTCAGGGAACTGCAGGGTCAGGTACCCCCACACCATCTTAAGCCAGCTGTGAGTAGGATGGTTGGTGGACTTCGGATCCCAAGGCTTGGTGTTGTCTGTGCAGGGGTTGAAAAGTCTTCTGATCAATTCCGACATAGAAGTCTGGTCTAGAATTCTCAACTGGGTTAATCCTAAAGTGAAAGAAAAATGAAAATTCATTTTTTCAAATGTTCATTGTTTTTCAAATTGCAGTTTTTATTAAATTTGTATTACATAAATAATATATATCAATGACAGCATGCATAATTGGCACATAGAGACATCCATAAAATCATTTTTTCTTGCAGAGTTAACACCCATTTCAAATGGTGACAGTTACAGTTCAACTGTACACATATGGCAACAGTAAAGGAGCAGAATATTTACTGACATTTACAGATCTGTATATAAAATCTGAAAAAAAAAAAAAAAAAATAAAATTGTTTTAATGACCAGATTTGTTTCCAAAAAAGTTATCGTAATCCATAGATTATTTTCTGTTCAATTTAACTTGCATATTAGCTGATTATAATTGTTGTTTAGAAATTTTGCCTCTTAAAAATATATGATACATGGACTAGCCCTTTTGTTAATAGTTACCTGAAGTTGCAATCTTTTCCAGGTGTGTGGCAACCTCAGATGGGACTCTCTCAGTCTCCAATAAGTTGTCGGTCAACCCAGGGAGAAGGTCTTTTGGATGATCCTTGGTTGGAACATACATTTCTGGTGCGTCACTTGCACTGGACTGGAACCTAACAAAAACCTGGTCACTTCGGAGTAAAAATTTGATCCCAATTATATCACCATAGGCTGAATCAGAGAGGATGTACTTTAGGATGGACATCTTTTTGTCAAATGAGAGGCTGTCTTCCCAGGTTGACACATTTGGTTTCTTTAGAGCAGTGCGTACATGTCCTGGCTGAATCTTTGCAATTTTTATATTGTGCTTTTGTAATGCAGCTTTTACATGTGATGGGATGGTGCAAATCTTTTCGCCGCTGAGAATTAGAACATTCACAAGATCTTCAACATTGTCAATGTTAGAGCTTATATCATTGAACAAGACTTCACTAGCATTGTACCATGTGTCATCTGTTGGGCTATAAAATGATTGCCTCAATAGAGTCACTCTGTACATACGTGTGACCATTTCTTCAAATTTGGGATCAGTTGCACTGCAGTCTGGCATTGCATTATAAATGCACGTTGGTGAAAAGCCTGCGAGAATGGCACAATTTAGGAGTTCAGCATATGCCACTGAAACTGCTTCTTCCACCAGACAGATGTTCCACAGAAGAGCTTTATCAGTCAAGGCAGATCTATCTTGGTCAGTGGTGGGCCATTTTAGGTGTCTGCGATTTTGGCTGAGTGCAAAGAAACCGCTCATGTGAACTGGAAGACCAGTCACACTTTTTTCTTCTAGTGGGAGTGGTAGGAAACAGAAGAAGTGACCCTTCTGTTGTTGGGGCTTCTGTTTGACCTGTTGAAGTGGTTCATCCTTTTTGCCACAGCACATCGCGACAGCCACCCACGGAAGATAACCCAGACTTGAATCATTTGCCAGTTTTTTAAACTGTGAACTCACTTGGCCTCCTGAAAAGTGATTTGTTAGCATCCATTTGGTTGTCTTGGAAGTTTTGTCAACAGACAATCTGGCATTCTTTGAGGGGGTAGGTGAGGTGGCTGCTGTTTGGTGGATATATGTTGTCTCTGTGAATTGGAGCTCATATGTAAACTGAATTGGTTTTTCTGGCCACTCATTGGTTTGTCGCACCCTAGCAATTTTTGACAAAAACTCTCCACGCTTTGATCTCACACCTTTGATGCACTCTTTATCTAATGCCAAATGGAAGATTAACTCTGGTTTATCACTTTCTTCTGTTCTTTCATACAATTCAATGCTTTCCAGCGAAGACAAAAACAGAAGGTTCATATATGCACATGTCATGAAAGATTTGAACAAACTGTCAATTTTTTCTGATGCATATGTCTGCTCTGACAATTGTGAACAGAATTGAGAGGGATCTTGTGAACCTGTTCTGAGTGGAAAACGAAATAGTGTTCCCTTATAATCTACACCATTGAATGTTTTGTCACGTCCACAAAAAATCCCCTCAAATGGTTCAAACTGATCATGCAGGGCAGAGATTTCCTCTTTATCATTTTTAAGGTGCCATTGCTTCCCTGTTGTTCCACTACCAAAGAATTTTTCATGTGGATCTAGGAATCCTATCTTGTCTCCACTTATCATGCTTGGTAAATCTAGAAGAAAATGTAGAAGAAAAGAAAAATAAATGCCCAAGCACAAAAGGTTTATACAAAGGCACATATAAAACCTATGCACAGGTTCAAAGGGTTTATGGACAGACACAATCAATCTATGCACTGACATATAAGATTTATGCCCAGGCCAGTAGGATTTGTATTTGTGCACAGGAACATGGGATTTGTGCCGAGGCTCAGAGGATTTATGTACAGGGGCCAGGCATTTACCTAGAGATGCATGGATGCACAGACAAGTATGTTTTAGCCCAAGAACATAAGATCTTTGCATCCCTGTACAGGGGCAGATCCAGAGCTATTTTCTGACCATCTTCAAAATTTTCTTTGTTGATCCATCCTCCATTTTTGACTGTCTTCTTACAGAAAATTTAGATACTCGCAATGTAAACTTGAAAATCTGACTGTCTTTCAGAAGACAGCCTCAATCCGCCCCCGCTGTATTATATTAATGCATTAACCAAAAGCTATAGCCCTATGCTGAACATGCATGCAGTGCTTTGCCTGAGACAATACAGCGATATAGATCACTGAGCTTTGAAAGACAAAATATTGCCCATGATACCACATGCATGTGGAATAACTTGAATTATTGCTGGTAATATTAAACTAGACAGCAAAGCCGACAGATATACAGATATCATACAAGAACCAAGGCAGCAAAGGCGACAAATATTCAGACATTCAGATGCAGAAAAGAATGCACCAAATAATGTTTTGGCTAATTTTGATGCACTATTATACTATGCTTTAAAACAGCACAATCACTCTTACTCTCTCACACTATGTACTACAGGTGGCATGGACATTGAAAAGCCAGCAAGTAATTCAATTTCATGGGCTAAAAAAGCCACTGAAAATGCTAATGTGTAAAAAATTAGATATTAAAAAAATAATAATAAAGTTTGGCAGTAATGGGGCTAACATCACCAAAACTGTGAAAAGACAGAATCAAAATTGATTAAAAATTATGCCAATTTTCAAAATCAACCTACCTCTTCACCAAACAAACAATATATTGCCCACGATACCACATGCATGTGAATTAACTTGAATTATTGCTGGTAATATTAAACAACACAGCAAAGCTGACAAATATCCAGACACCATACAGGAAACAAGGCAGCAAAGCTGACAAATGTTCAGACGCAGAAAAGAGTGCATCAAATAATGGCAGTCAGAGAAATAAGCGTAGAGATCAGTCAGTTAGTAGTTAATCCCTGGAAAACATATCACTGCTGTTGTGTTACCTGCTGGAGAAGTAACTCAGCCAAGTGTCCCAAGCAATACAGCCAAAAGAGAATGAGGCAAAAGATGTTAAAATACCTGTGTGTGCAGAAATTTCCATCTTCTCTTTGCTGTGGTCTTCCTCAGTGCAATTGTTTTGATCACTAGGTGGAGTTTTGGTCAAAATTATTAATTAATGATATTATTGACTGAACTAAGCCTGTGCCCCCTTCACATACAGGTATTTAAACATCTTTGCCCTTGTTGTGTTTGGAAGTTATAGGGCAAACTTCAACAAAACTGTGAAAAAAGAAGATTACCATTAAGTAAATTTAAAGTAAAACAAAAATACCTTTTGGAAGCTATAATATGGGGTGAATGTCATGTGTTGGACAGAAATAGTGATGGTGATTACGTGGACAGACAGACCAATCAGAATATATACAGACAATTACAGTGTCTGTATATAAAAACTGAAGCAAAACCCACTTAGTAAATTTAGATTTTTGTCTTGCTATGTTTCAATATTCTTTGGAATTGACAAGGTGATTCGTTACATGTGTAAAATTGTTGAGCATAAATTTGTACATGTATAACCACAGGCAAAAATTGTATATATTTTTCTGAAGATAGTGCACAGGCCCGTAGCAGGCAATTTCAGAGGGGGGGGGTTCGTTTTCTGAAAAAGTGGACCTTTTACCATAAAAGTACAAGTACATAGGTCAAATTTTACCCAGAGTGGACCTTTTTCCAAGCAAAAAGGGTGGTTCTTTTGAAACCCTCCCCTGGCTACTGGCCTGGACTTCCAAGATGAAAGTGGTCTTACCTTTTCTTTCGGCTGTGGGGGAAAAAGCCGGGACATTATTTCTCCAACTGCTAGGTCAGACATGATGTAATATGGCAGGGCCAGCTCATAGTGTTCAGACTGGGGGCTGGAACAGAACATACACACTGTCATCCATCATATTTCCCTGGTAGTAATTCAAGGGTACTTTTGCTTCATCTTTGCCCCATCAATTTATTATTATAGCGCTGACGTAGGTAAAAATGAACTCCACTGCCTTAAATTTTTTAAAGTCAAGTAATGAACTTTTCTTTAAGAATTTAATTTGTAACTATTTCAAAATTGTGAACAGATGAGCCTGGCTTACTAAAAAGGCAAAAATCTGCACAGTGCTAGAGAAACCTACAATCATAGCAGCTAAATGGATCAGGCAATCTTAATTTTCAAACACATTTTCAAGAAAGAAATGATGATTTGACAGATACAAAATAGTGCAACTTTANCCCTTTTCCCAAAAAATACAAAGTACAAAGGGCAAAATTTTCCCCGAGGGGGCCCTTTTTCCAACAAAAAAGGGGGTTTTTTTAAACCCCCCCCCCCCCCCCCCCCCCACACACACACACACACAGCTACGGGCCTGGTGCATCTCTATTTGCTGTTTGTGCTGCATGTATATTGCCATTTAACAGATTGCCACTCATACCTGTCATGTGAAAGACAGACTTGAACCCCAACCCAAATTTTCCAACTTTCAGTGGATCATCTCTCTTGCTACTATTGTGGATGGCTCCTATTCTGTCCCAGTCTTTATCACAAAAAACAGCATCATTGTAGGCATACAGAGCTGGACCCTGAGATATAAGTGAAAAGAACAATTCAAAAGATGAAAATACATTTAGAATGCTTTATAAATGATTTTAATGCCACACAGGGTTAGGCTGTCCCTGGGTTGGGGGGCTAGGAAGGGGGTGTGTGTGTGATATTCTTTATTCCTTTTACATTGCAATTTCTGCTATCTCATCCATTCTAAACCATTAGGGGGAGGAAATTTTGGTATTAATTTTTTTTCATCACTTAAAAATTAATTAATATTTTATAATGTGTGAATCTGGCACAGCCACGCACATTTGGTAAGGAACTTTTCAAAATTACTAAGTGGCCCATTTTCAAGTTTGATGAAATTCTTAAAGTGAAAAACATTACACAGAATAGTCTTCCTACAAAACTTGGAAGCCTGACATAATTTTCAAGTTTTTTCAACTATCATAAGAGACATACAATTTGACTTTAGAATTTTAGTGGAACTGTGGGTTAATTAGGCTGTCCCAGGGGAGGGGAGGGGGAGGTAACAGGACTCAAATTCTTATGACATTGTATTTTTTGTTATCTTTGCCTTTACCATAAGTAAGGTAATTTTGGCATTGACAGACTGGGGTAGTGTTTGACCTTCGTTTGAAATAGCACAGGCCAATTTGGCCAGTATGTTTTGTGTGTTACAGGCCAAACTGAAAATGTACAAGCCAGATTTTGGCTTGTTTTATTAAGAAGTTACCAGCCAAGTATTTAAAGTAAAGGCCATGTGGTAATGACGGATGATTGAGATGTTATCAGGTACCAATGCTGCACAGTTAGTTATAAGTCATATGCAAATAAAGATAAAATTAAAAACTGTTTTGATTAATCGTTTTACTCAGTTTAGACTCTAGAAGTACTTGTTTCAGGATAAATATTAAAATGAGCTTTAATTAAATATTTTTTTAAAATACTACAACTAAACTCGTGATATTATGGGTGAACTCTGTACAGTAGGTCGCTCTGACTGAGATGAAATCGGTGAATATAGCTGTAAAGCTGACGAGATTGTTAAAATTTTAAGTGTATCCGAGGTGAAATAAAATTTGTTATATTGCTTTATTTGAATGGTATTGTATTGTTTTGTATTGTATTAGCACAAGGTAGGTAATTCAAGTTCTCTTACCCTAAACACGTTGCTAATCTTCGCGCGTTTGAAAAAACTTTTTTTTTTTGCTCTGCTCAGAAAAAGATTTTTAGAGAAGTCAAAAACATGCTTTGAGTCAGAGAGCTCAGACCGTTAGCTTGCATCAGTTCGTTTCTGCTTTGATTTTTGTATACTCATCATTTGATGCTGCCCAGCTAGAATGGGANACTGCAACAGTAAAGGAGCAGAATATTTACAGACATTTACAGATCTGTATATAAAATCTGAAAAAATAATAATAAAATTGTTTTAATGACCAGATTTGTTTCCAAAAAAGTTATCGTAATCTAAAGATTATTTTCTGTTCAATTTAACTTGCATATTAGCTGATTATAATTGTTGTTTAGCAATTTTGCCTCTTAAAAATATATGATACATGGACTGGCCCTTTTGTTAATAGTTACCTGAAGTTGCGATCTTTTCCAGGTGTGTGGCAACCTCAGATGGGACTCTCTCAGTCTCCAATAAGTTGTCGGTCAACCCAGGGAGAAGGTCTTTTGGATGATCTTTGGTTGGAACATACATTTCTGGTGCGTCACTTGCACTGGACTGGAACCTAACAAAAACCTGGTCACTTCGGGGTAAAAATTTGATCCCAATTATATCACCATAGGCTGAATCAGAGAGGATGTACTTTAGGATGGACATCTTTTTGTCAAATGAGAGGCTGTCTACCCGGGTTGACACATTTGGTTTCTTTAGAGCAGTGCGTACATGTCCTGGCTGAATCTTTGCAATTTTTATATTGTGCTTTTGAAATGCAGCTTTTACATGTGATGGGATGGTGCAAATCTTTTCGCCGCTGAGAATTAGAACATTCACAAGATCTCCAACATTGTCAATGTTAGAGCTTATATCATTGAACAAGACTTCACTGGCATTGTACCATCTACTGGCAGAGATAGAGGTGTCACCTGTTGGGCTATAAAATGATTGCCTCAATAGAGTCATTCTGTACATACGTGTGACCATTTCTTCAAATTTGGGATCAGTTGCACTGCAGTCTGGCATTGCATTATAAATGCACGTTGGTGAAAAGCCTGCGAGAATGGCACAATTTAGGAGTTCAGCATATGCCACTGAAACTGCTTCTTCCACCAGACAGATGTTCCACAGAAGAGCTTTATCAGTCAAGGCAGATCTATCTTGGTCAGTGGTGGGCCATTTCAGGTGTCTGCGATTTTGGCTGAGTGCAAAGAAACCGCTCATGTGAACTGGAAGACCAGTCACACTTTTTTCTTCCAGTGGGAGTGGTAGGAAACAGAAGAAGTGACCCTTCGGTTGTTGGGGCTTCTGTTTGACCTGTTGAAGTGGTTCATCCTTTTTGCCACAGCACATCGCGACAGCCACCCACGGAAGATAACCCAGACTTGAATCATTTGCCAGTTTTTTAAACTGTGAACTCACTTGGCCTCCTGAAAAGTGATTTGTTAGCATCCATTTGGTTGTCTTGGAAGTTTTGTCAACAGACAATCTGGCATTCTTTGAGGGGGTAGGTGAGGTGGCTGCTGTTTGGTGGATATATGTTGTCTCTGTGAATTGGAGCTCATATGTAAACTGAATTGGTTTTTCTGGCCACTCATTGGTTTGTCGCACCTTTGCTATTTCTGACAAAAACTCTCTACGCTTTGATCTCACACCTTTGATGCACTCTTTATCTAATGCCAAATGGAAGATTAACTCTGGTTTATCACTTTCTTCTGTTCTTTCATACAATTCAATGCTTTCCAGCGAAGACAAAAACAGAAGGTTCATATATGCACATGTCATGAAAGATTTGAACAAACTGTCAATTTTTTCTGATGCATATGTCTGCTCTGACAATTGTGAACAGAATTGAGAGGGATCTTGTGAACCTGTTCTGAGTGGAAAGCGAAATAGTGTTCCCTTATAATCTCCACCATTGAATGTTTTGTCACGGCCACAAAAAATCCCCTCAAATGGTTCAAACTGATCATGCAGGGCAGAGATTTCCTCCTTATCATTTTTAAGGTGCCATTGCTTCCCTGTTGTTCCACGACCAAAGAATTTTTCATGTGGATCTAGGAATCCTATCTTGTCTCCACTTATCACGCTTGGTAAATCTAGAAGAAAATGTAGAAGAAAAGAAAAATAAATGCCCAACCACAAAAGGTTTATGCAAAGGCACATATAAAACCTATGCACAGGTTCATAGGGTTTATGCACAGGCTCATTAAATCTATGCAACGGCACATAATATTTATGCCCAGGCCAGTAGGATTTGTATTTGTGCACAGGAACATAGGATTTGTGCCGAGGCTCAGAGGATTTATGTACAGGGCCCAAGGATTTACCTAGAGATGCATGGATGCACAGACAAGTATGTTTTTGCCCAAGAACATAAGATCTTTGCAGCCCTGTACAGGGGCGGATCCAGAGCTATTTTCTGACTGTCTTCAAAATTTTCTTTGTTGATCCATCCTCGATTTTTGACCGTCTTCTTACAGAAAAAATTAGATACCCGTCAATGTAAACTTCAAAATCTGACCGTCTTCCAGAGGACGTCCTCAATCAGCCCCTGCTGTACTATATTAATGCATTAACCAAAAGCTATAGCCCTATGCTGAGCATGCATGCAGTGCTTTGCCTGAGACTTTGTCTGAGACAATACAGGGATATAGATCAATGAGCTCTGAAAGACAAAATATGGCCCAAGATACCACATGATATTAAAAAAATAAAAAAATAATAATTAAGTTTGGCAGTAATGGGGCTAACATCACCAAAACTGTGAAAAGACAGAATAATTAAAGTAAATTAACTTAATTAAATTAATTAAATATCATGCCAATTTTCAAAATCAACCTACCTCTTCATCAAACAAACAATATATTGCCCAAGATACCACATGCATGTAGATTAACTTTAATTATTGCTGGTAATATTAAACTACACAGCAAAGCTGACAAATATACAGACACCATACAGGAAACAAGGCAGCAAAGCTGAGAAATGTTCAGACACAGAAAAGAGTGCACCAAATAATGGCAGTCAGAGAAATAAGCGTAGAGATCAGTCAGTTAGTAGTTAATCCCTGGAAAACATATCACTGCTGTTGTGTTACCTGCTGGAGAAGTAACTCAGCCAAGTGTCTCATGCACTACATCCAAAAGATGTTAAAATACCTGGTGCATCTCTATTTGCTATGTGTGCTGCATGTATATTGCCATTTAACAGATTGCCACTCATACCTGTCATGTGAAAGACAGACTTGAACCCCAACCCAAATTTTCCAACTTTCAGTGGATCATCTCTCTTGCTACTATTGTGGATGGCTCCTATTCTGTCCCAGTCTTTATCACAAAAAACAGCATCATTGTAGGCATACAGAGCTGGACCCTGAGATATAAGTGAAAAGAACAATTCAAAAGATGAAAATATATTAAGAATGCTTTATAAAGGATTTTAATGCCACACAGGGTTAGGCTGTCCCTGGGTTGGAGGAGCTAGGAAGGAGGTGTGTGTGATATTCTTTATATATTTACATTGCAATTTCTGCTATCTCATCCATTCTAAACCGTTAGGGTGAGGAAATTTTGGTATTAATTTTTTTTCATCACTTAAAGGGGGTCTTCCCGATATGAGGGAAAATGAAACATATCCCAAACTTTTTCTTATATACGAAGGTCATGATCTAAACCAAAATTCGCCTTTGAGGTAGACGGCAATCAAAATAATTAATTATTTCACATTCGAGTCTGTATTGGAGAACGTCCTCTCCCCAAAAAAGAGAAGATGTCTACCGCAAGGTTTTAGCCAATCAGAGTGCGTTGCCTAAAATAGCACTCATACAAAAGGAGAAACAAATATGGCGCGGTGGAGTTCGAAGTAAGTCGTTTACCGATGCACGTTAGTTAAAACTCTCTCCCTTCAATGTTCGTGAACAGGTTTGTGCACTTAAACATTAAAAGAATTCATTTAACTTCTCGTCTGTTAAAATAGTCCAAAAATCAATGAATGGCTTGGAAATATTTACGACGTAGTGTAGCCTATTATGTCAACAGTGCTTGATACCGTAATTCTCAATACCGATTCACCGAATGAGTAACTTGTACCAGGAAATATACTGGTGACATGATTAGAGACAGTGATATTTTTCGGGTCAACTGAACCTGCCCTTTTTGGTTGGATATTTATGAACGACTGTTACTTTTTTTTGTTGTTTGCTATGCTTTCTGAGCCGCAATTTTGACATCGCAATTTGCACGCACAGCGTAGCACAGACTACAAATGCGTTCCAGGCGATTTTGATACTTACTGGCAGTAGTGGTGAGCATCGTGCAGATGTCAAAATCGTCAATAGGAGTGCCTGAATTTTGTGCTACGCACACACGTATCTTATCTTGCTTTTCTAGTCGATCTGTTTTTATACTTTTCAGATCGAGAGTAGGCCTATTGTTGATGAGGCAAGCAGTCAGAGCAGTCCAGAACTAGAGGGTAAAGAGCTCCCTGAGGTAAAGAGTTTTGTTATTTTTAAATAAAACAGGCCTTTTAGTTAATCTGGCACATTCCTTAGTTTTGATAGTAATGTGTAGGACCCACCTTACCCTCACCTATATTCACATGTAATAATCCACACATACAAAAAACTTATAGTTTAGGGATAACAATTGATACGCTTGAGTGCAGGACAATGATTAATTGAAGTGAAACCCATTTTGAACAGTTCACAACATTATTACTAGCATGCAATTAAATCAGTGCCAATTATTATTATTATTAGTTTTATTATTATTTTACAGCATACTATATGTTGTGATGTCAGCCTCATTAGATAAAAAGCCCTGTATAAAGGTTTAGTAGAGTTGGCAGTGTTACATAGCACTTCTAGGTCCAGTAGTACAAGGCTTGGAAGAGGTGTGAGATCAGGAGGATTGACTCAAGAACATGAAAGGAGAATTCAGTAACTCACAGAAGAGGTATAAGACTCATTATATCTTTATTGAAAAGATAAATGCTAAGTTTCTCACAATACACAAACACCATTCATATTCCTTTTTATTTTCAAAGTAAATTTATTCAATTAAATTTGGTGGTGTGAAATCCAGTCCTTATGGTTATTTTAGTGTTCATACATTTTCAAATATTTTATTTTTGAAGTAAGCTATTGTACATATCAAAACAGAAATGACAGATATAAAAGTGAATATTTTTTTTTTCATTATCAGAGCATACATGATGGTGTTGCCAAGAAAATGATGGTGTTGCCAAGGAAAGTGCTGAATACATTGTGACAAGTGTGATGGAAATCCTGGCCTTGCACTGGATATAAAGATGCTTTTGCTAGAGAATTTACCAAGCAATGACTCAGCATCAGTGGAGATGGGACTGGCCCATCTCCCACTCACTGTAATGTCCCCTACATTTTGACTGCCGTTGAATTTGCTGGATTACTTCACTTTGAAGAAAATTACAGAATAACTATTACCACGAGTATCAGTTTACTGACCAAACATTCATAAGACCTGTAATATGCAAGTCACTGAGTAGAAGGATTCTTTTCATTCTACTGTAATTTGTGCAACCATTCAGTGAACATAAAAAATAAAGGCATAGAAAAACAAGGTGCGCTCATTTATCCCTTTCTCATATCAAAAGTAAAATGCAACTCTGTACACAATCTGTTCATAAAATCAATCATTTTAAAAGTTAATGTCATACAAGGAAATAATGTATGTCTGGATGGATTTATAAAAAATAAGTTTATGTGAAGTAATCATCATTTTGATAAAAAAATTCTTATATACATATAAGGACCACGGTGCCTTGAATCTCTTGGTTCCATCTGCACCATGGCTGCTTAAAAATGTGTACTTGTAATTCCCGTGTCAAATTCCTGGTTTGTAAGACTGGAATGTACCTTTATTTGTGCTAATTGTTTATGTAACAGCTTGAGGTCTTACTGTCATCCATGATTTTGAGTGCTTGCTTTGCTGCTTAGTATAACTAAAAACAAAACATTGACTATTGGAAAGACTTCAATGCATTTTTTGTGAAATTAATAGCAATGTCTACGCCAGACATAAGAGCACTGAATAGAGCATGGTTATCAAAATTATTTGTTTCAAAATCCAATTTATTATATAATGTTCCCCACAATAAGTACTGATATCCTGTGCTTGTCACAATTCTAGAACTAGCTGCCATGGTAGTATTAAACTTTATAATAAAATGGCATTGTTCCAAGTACTAACATGCATTAGATTAATACTGATGGCAAGGTGTACTGAACATGGTAAAATAAACAGCTATTGTGTGTTTGGATTGTGGGTGTCAGGTATTTACTTTGGCTCTATGTTGGCCTTGAACCTGATGTAGGGGTAGATGTTACCACATGCATATTACCTGGATAATATTCGAATAAGGTAAATAGTGAAAGGGTTTTTTTTCCTTTTTTTGGACTTGAGTATATAACGACGTTAAGTAAGCCGACAAAAACCAGTCTTTAATAGAAGACCAATTAGCTCAATCCTTGTTTGTACTGACTGCTCTAAAAAATAATAAACTTTTCTGCGTACAGCAGGGATAACAGGGGCGGATCCAGAGATATAGGTCTATTCTGACAGTCTTCCGAGTAATGTTAATCCATCCTCCATTTTTGACCCCCTTTCGACAGAAATATTACATATACCCGCCAATGAAAACTTGAAAATCGAACCGTCTTCCGGAAGAACTAGAAGACGCCCTAAATCCGCCTCCTGAATATGTTCTCAATGAAAGAGTCGGACGTGATAAGAGATCGAAATAACCTACCAGTATCCGGCAGAATTTTGTCAGTTTCTCGCTTGTCAGTTTTATTTCCTACTTCTGCTTCGTCTACCTCACCGTCCTGCCAATGAAAATAACATCCTCTGCTTCTGCATTTCCCATTTTATTTCCTTTTTCATTGTCCCGTAGAGTTATTCCTCTCTCTCTCAACTCACGTGTGCTCGGACTACCCTCCATCTTGGTTTGCAGTGACATCCGGGTCTTCTCCAGAGCGTAGTAAACAGTAGTATTCAGTCATATGCAAATTGAGGCAAGTCCCAGAATGCCACACGTAGGGGAGTAATGGCGAGAAGTTTAGACGAAAAAAAAAAATGCTTCTTTTTTTTCTTTAAGTGATCTTAAAAACCTATACCTCGACCTTTATTTTCTCAACGGTTTCGTGTGAGACATGCTTTGGGGTTCAGGATCAAATAGGCAAAGTTTCAGAGAAAGGCCTATTTAAGCGTCTACAGCAGAAAGACATCCTTTAAAAATTAATTAATATTTTATTATGTGTGAATCTGGCACAGCCACGTACATTTGGTAAGAAACTTTTCAAAATTATTAAGTGGCCCATTTTCAAGTTTGATGAAATTCTTAAAGTGAAAAACATTACACAGAATAGTCTTCCTACAAAACTTGGAAGCCTGACATAATTTTCAAATTTTTACAACTATCATAAGAGACATACAATTAGACTTTAGAATTTTAGTGGAACTGTTGGTTAATTAGGCTGTCCAAGGGGAGGGGAGGGGAGGTAACAGGACTCAAATTCGTGTTAGGGAAATGGCTCGATTTGGTTGATTTTAGTGTGCAACTGTAAGACTCACCAATTAAATCGGTGCCGAAATACACATGTAAGCTCAGCACCTTTGTTATATTTCATGGGCACATATGGATCAAAGAAAGACATGTAGTTACTCTAGATCTGATAACTTATACCCCATTCACACTAAGCTCAGTTATCTGGATAAATTGCGAATTAGGTCACAATTCGAATAAATGCAGTAGTGTGAATGCAAGAGGATTTTTGTAATACGCATTTTCAAAATCCTGCAAGCGAGTGGGATTTCTAAGCGCGATCCGGATATCTTACCGGAATCGACACCTGTACAGATCTAACTGCGCATGTGTGCAGATAAGTGCGGGTATCTATGAACGCTTGTTTATTACTTTAGGGATTGCACCAAACATATTTGGAGGTCACCCCTCACTACAACATGAGGAAACAAACTTATTTTGCCATCTTATACTTCTCAAGAATGCTGGAATGTCTTTAGAGTTGCATTTGACGTCACAAATTTTTGTTGGTATTTTAAGATTTCCTGTGCGGGGCATGTGCGAGTGTTCAAAACAGGAAGTTAGACCTGAAATTTTCAATGTGTAATTCGGTTTCGCTTAGCGTGTGTGAACGCAATACCGAATCGGATTCCCCACGAAAAATTCGGATTATAGAAATGTGCATTTTTGCAACTGTAGTGTGAATGGGGTATTATACTTCACAGGCACACAAAACAGCTAGGATTTTGCCAAAATTCATATTTAATGAATTATCCCAGGGTACACAGCATTTTCATGGAATTACCAGCCTTAAATCTTCCTTAATTTCCTGACACTCACCATAACTCTTAGCCAAAGCCAAAGATCCAAACCCACACATATAAGTTATTCATATACAGCATTAATGCCCATATTGCCTTCATTTCCAGATAGTGCGAAATTCTTGCACTGTCACACTCTTTTCCAGCTATGTTGAGATGGCTGACTATAACTGAGATTTGACAGGGGACAGTGTAAATGATTATTTTTTGCAATACTGATTAAGTTCATTCATCTGTCATTTTACATACAAAAAGTTTTGATACTCCTCAGATAAGCTCAACAAGAATACTTGGAATAGGGTTTAAATCCTATACTTTATGTACCTTTAAAGGGTACCGTGTATAAAAGGGAGAATTTACAATAAACTCCATATAAACATATACTTCCTGAAGAGTTCAAATTTCCTCGTTCCCTGCAGTATATAAGACTCAATTATCATTACCTTAGTAAATACTACCCTCAACCAGGGTGGCAGATATTATAGGCACATTTCAAAAAGCAGAGAATCAAATGACTGCATGTCTATTCATCTAAAGACATATCTGTGAATATCTTGTGAAAAATCAATCAGGCAGACTTTACGAAAGGCCAAAAAATCTGTCAGACATTCGGTCTGACAAGCTTGATAATTCTGTCAGACCGAAACAAAATCTGTAAGACCGAAGTAAAATAATAGAAATATGAACCGTTATTCATGTTTTCATGTGTATTTTCTAACGTTTTAAATCATTGTCATTAAATCAAATATTAAATTTTTGATATATATTTATTTGTAAAAAGGTAAAATAAAAAAGAAAAAAATAGACAAAATTACTTGCATAACAAGTTGTTTTTTTATTTAATGAAAAAGTCATTGTGGAATGACACAAGGACTAAAAACAATACAAGTATGAAGAATGTGTAGCTAGTAATATCAAATGTATGTCCATAAAACGTCTTTTAATCAGATAACCATTTCACACGTTGTTTTTGACAATAACATATGCATTTTGAAACAGCACAGTAAGGCGGTCTCTTTCGTCCAATTAAAGCTTTGACAGGGACTGTCCAGCCCGAGTCTAAGTTCCTTATTCATTTTATTTCTTTTTTTATAAAAAGAAACTCAAACAGTGAGCTTTCCTCAAGTTCATGTGCACTTTCTCCAACTCGTGGTGAACGGTACATGCAAATACGTACTTATGTTCCATAATTTAAGGACCCGTAATAAAGCTGTAACATTTATGTTGCTATTGATCAAAATGATAACTTTAGTACTCCTGACACTTGGCACACACTATTTCCCTCTCCTACAGATCATAAGTCCGCCAGGGCCTACCTTCTTTCCAATTTTAGTAAACTTCCGTTTCTCTTCCTCACTTCGTTTTCATTTTTGCCACGCTTTGCACCAACGAAGTGTTTAAAGTTCAACAACGTCATTTTTCAAAACAAAAGGATTATCCATGAGTACTGTGTACGACTGATAATGAAGAAATAGAGGATCAAGTCTGTAAAAACGCAAATGTGTCTAGCATTTGCACGTGTTGCGGCCATTTTGTCATGTAGGGAGCTTAGGGGTATTACAAAAATGAAAATGAGGCTGTACATTACATCATCCAGGAATCCCCTAACCTCAGCCAATCACAAAATAGTAGGCCTATTTGTGAGTGAAACTGAGGTTAATAAATGATGCATAATTAGCTGGTAACTCCCCGAGATTTTCACCCCGTCTCTCTTTTCGAATGAAGTAAAATATATCGTCCAGAAAAGAAACAACAACGTATTCTTCATATTTACACATTTTTAGTCAATTTGAAAATTTGCCAGACATAAGGTCCGACGATACAGGATTTTTTATTGGACCGAGACGAAATTTGCCAGGCATGTCCGACGCCTTTCCTAAAGTCTGATCAGGTAGAGGATATAAGTACCGTATGTTTATGAAAGGAATTTTAATAAAATGTAAAAATAATCATTAAACATAAAACAAACAAAAGCAGACAAATGCTAGACCATGAATAAGGACTAAACTGAGGAACTGTACCTTAAAGGGATAATAACTCTTCGTTTTGGCCAAAAAATGAATTTTCCTGGAGTAAACAACAATTTTCCCATACTAACCAATGGTTAATGAATCCATTTTTACATTAAAAGTTAGTCGCTGTATTTTTCTAACAAGTTTGTTTTTTTTGTCAAAATCTCTTAAGAGATTATAATAGAGTATAGCAATCGAAAATCGAACAAGTTTCACATGCCAAACTGCTGGGAGTTCATATCAGTTCTAATTTGAAATGGGACTTACATATAGAAAAAATTCTCTCAAAAGCTGCATCCAGACTGTATTTCTTATGCATGGTCAAACACGCTGGGTGCCGAGACATGACCTCTTACAAATTTATAAAAGCAATCTCAGACCAACACTTGAGTACGCTTGTCAGCTATGGCATGCTGGAATTACCGCACAGCAATCTAAAACCTTAGAGAACATCCAAAAAAGGGCTCTTCATATTATATACCCTGAACTCACTTACAACGAAGCAATGGACATCACTGAATTACCTACCTTGAAATCTCGGTGTACTGACTTATGCAAAAAATTATTTAATGAGATAAAACTGTGTACACATAGATTGAACCATCTTTTACCTAACACTCATGTCATAGAAAAGGACCTAAGGAATGTTTATAGATATGTTTTACCAAAATGTCGGACAAAAAGATATAGAAACACTTTTATCCCATACTGTTTATATACGTGTTAATGATCTAGGTCTATCCATTAACTTTTAGCTTTTGAAAATAACAACGAATCACCATTTTTAACCTCATTATTGGTTTTATAACTTAGAATTTATCTTAAAGCTCTATTTTAGTACTACATCTTTATACTTTTATACATATACATTCAATATATGTCTTATATATTGCAAAGAACACAATAAACCCTTTATTATTATTATATTATAATCAATGGAGGTCATGTGGTCTGAAGACAAGTTCAGATATCAGAATAATAGCTATAACTGCTGTTTTTGCTTGTAAAACAGAATATCTTATATTTCTGTGAGTTATTCAAAATGTTTTATTGTGAAATATAGACCTCATACGAAGAGTTATTATCCCTTTAAGTCTGTAAGAATAGAGACATATATCCAACCTTTACATATCCAATATAATAGAATAAAAAGGGTTTATTTGCTTTAAAACATGTAACATTTACCTGAAATATCTTCAAATCTGGTTGATACAGAGACTTTGCAGAAAACTGGCGTCTGTCATTCACAAATTTTACAGATTTTGCTCCAGCATCCTCAGCATTCTGGATTAATTCCTAAAAGATTGACAATATATACGATGTCAGTTTTCTCTTTCTTTTTATAACTTTAAAAATCCTCACAATTTCATATTTATGTAGATGCATGCATGACTAAATAAAAGCATCAAAGTAAGAAAAACTACATGAAAACTTAACCTTCAGAATCTGCCCATCATCTGGATATTGGTCTAACACTGCTTTCAGCTGCTCAATTAAAGACGGCGTCCGAATGCCAAAACCACCTAAAATATAAATGGTAAGGATTTTATTCTACATGTACATATACTACCCTAGGGTAACAAATACCAGAAAGTCTTCAAACAAAACTTCCCAAAGCTGCTTCTTCAATAATTTGTACTAGCAGATTATGTCATCAACATTATGCAGACAACGTTTAAAATAAGAGACAATAACATATATACCTTCAAATTAAGGTGTATGGATATCTTTATGTTTACACTTACATAGTTTGTCGTTTTGAAACATTAAAATTACTTTTTGTAATAGATACCAAATATCTGAGATAAATATAATAATGTCACAACTTTTAACTATTAATTATTATCTTACTTTTATCATTTATGTACTTACGGTCAGCCATTTTTGTTTGAATCAGAAGAAGTTAATTATTTTTGTTTGTCTTTAGACATCACATCACCTCCATGCACACTAGCACTTTAGGACTCATTATGGCCTAATCTGTAATAACAGAAATAATTTAAATAAACATTATATCTAATAACAATCCTTTGTGAAATGATGATAGAAGGGTCCAAAACAGATCCCAATGCAAAAGGTGAGTGTATATATGAACAAACTACCCTTTTCAGGCCCGTAGCCAGCAGTTTCAAAAGGGGGGTTCTTTTTCTGAAAAAGTGGACCTTTTTCCATAAAAACTTCATGTACCTAGGTCAAATTTCACCCAGAGTGGACCTTTTCCCAGCAAAAGGGGCGGTTCTTTCGAACCCCCCGAACCCCCCCTGGCTACGGGCCTGCTTTTCTTTGGGAAAAGGTCCGCTCTACACCAAAATTTGATCTAGATTCTATGTCTTTTCTCAACTTGAGTCAGCTTACAAGGGGTTGTTTTCTTTTCAATTTACCGAGGAAGCTGGCTTGTAAAAGTAAATGTTTTGTTTTAAAAATAAACACAGCCTAGGTAGCTTTCCCTGCAGTGTGGTACTAGTATTATTGAGTAGCTAGCTGATCGCTATCTCTATTCGGTATGAACGAAAGTACTCTGAATACCGTACTTACACAAAGACCCAGCGTGTTTTTGTTTGGCATTTCCTCACCATTGTTTATTGCAATCATTACACTCAATCAACGAAACTGAGAGAGCAATAATGTGATGGTACTTTTTTGTTAATAAAAAGTCACCACGCAGATGCGTACACGTACGGCATTTCTATAGCAGACGCGGCACTTGTTATTGTCACGTGACTGGACAACCTCAAGTACAAAATACAGAGAGATGACAGCACAAAGTGATAGCAAACAGTGTAAATCGTAAGTAAAATATAATTTGGAAACATTTACCTGTCATTTAATTATGCTTATAATATTGTTATTATTACTGAGCTGGTGTCTTTTCATTATGCACTAGTTGAACAGCAACCCTTGACTTTCTCGGATTTCGGCATTAGCACAAGTAGCTAGGGAGTACTTGAATCAGAGACCAAACACTGAGGCAAACTCTTAGCACTATGGAATCCAAGAAATTTTGCAATATTTAGTCTGTAGAGTAGCTCCTAGCTTTCATCCTGAGATTTACTATGTTTTAACCATCTCACTTATTCAATTTTTCTATTTTTTAACTTGTAAAAAATCCAACTTTGAATACTCAATAATTTTTGATTCATTTTGCTGTTATGTATTCATGTTTTCATGTGTATTTTCTAGCATTTTAAACCATCGACATTAAATCAAATATTAAAATTTTTTTATATATTTATTTGTAAAAAAGTAAAATAAGATTTTTTTAGCTAATGAAAAAGGCGTTGTGGAATGACACAAGGACTAAATACAAGTATGAAGAATGTGTAGCTAGTAATATCAAATGTATGCATGTCCATAAAAAGCGTCTGTTAATCAGATAACCATTTCACCTGTTGTTTTTGGCAATAACATATGCATTGTGAAACAGCACAGTAAGGCCGTCTCTTTCATTCAATTGAAGCTTTGACAGGGAGTGTCCAGCCAGAGTCTAATTAAGTTCATTCTTCATTTTATTTCTTTTTTATAGAGACACTCAAACTGTGAGCTTTCATCAAGTTCATGTGCACTTTCTCCTACTCGTGGTCGTGAACGATACATGCAGATACGTACCAGTACATATGTTCCATAATTTAAATACCCGTAATAAAGTTGTAACATTTATGTTGCTATTAATCAAAATGATAACTTTAGTACTNCCCGAGCCTAATTAAGTTCATTCTTCATTTTATTTCTTTTTTATAGAGACACTCAAACTGTGAGCTTTCATCAAGTTCATGTGCACTTTCTCCTACTCGTGGTCGTGAACGATACATGCAGATACGTACCAGTACATATGTTCCATAATTTAAATACCCGTAATAAAGTTGTAACATTTATGTTGCTATTAATCAAAATGATAACTTTAGTACTGCTGACACTCAGCACACACTATTTTCCACTCCTATAGATCATAAGTCCGCCAGGGCCTATATACCTGCTTTCCAAATGTTAATTGTGCATATATAGATGTTTACCTCTCTATTTGAGAAAGTGTCTATATAGGGGACGTACGGATAAAATTTAGTCCCAAAATATAACTCGCCCCTATACTCCTGTTACCGATAAATAAAAGGAAAAACTGAAAAAAAAAACAAACATCTTTTTAGATTTAAATACCGATAGATCCGATTTTTTACCACTGTCCTCTATATTTGGGTTCCTTAAGATACCACGTACACACACACACACACACACACACACACACACACACACGTACTGTGCGAGCAAGGGTATAGCGAAAGCCAGGGGAATAGACTAGTAAACTGAGCGAAAAAAATGGCTTAACCCAGGACTAATTGCAAAAAAATTGTAATGATGTTTTTTAGAAAGCTAAATATCCAAATTTTAACATATTACGAATCTAGAAAAATCTAAGTAGTGGAAAATGGTTTTTAGGGCAGTTTTCCAAGATGGCCGCCAATATATTAAGTGTCTTTAGGTAAAGGGGTCTTTATATTTTAGGAATATTTTTGCTGGAATAAATGGGGTTAAGACCTTGAAATATATCCAGACTTAGAGACAAAGACCTTTTTGTTTAAAAGAAAAGCTTATTTGATAAGAATTATTCACTAAAGGTCATTGGCTAAGGGTCAAAGGTCAGGCAAAGGTCATTTGTATATTTTTTACCTGAAATATTGCCTAAAAGTTTGCAGTAAATGTTTTTAAAGATTGCTTATTGAAACTTTTGGTGTTTATTAAAATTATTACATCACTCACAACAAATCTATGAAGTTTGGCTGCAAAATATGTATTTTTAGGCGTAATATGAGACAAATTGTGAAAAATCAGACGAATAAAAAGTATGTATAAATGTGTAGGGTAGGTATTTTAAAAAAGTGGACTTCTCTTCATTCTGGGGACAAATATTCCTATGTAAATGTTATATAATATATATAAAACATTTGTTTTTTACATTTTCTTATTACAACCATCTATATTTAGGCTCAATTCCTTTTTTCCAATATGGCCGCCAGCAAGGGCATTCATAAGGTTTTATAAGCCTTAATATTTTAAACACTTTTTTTAGTAGTGGCTTTCTGCGAAAAAATTGTAATTAGGTTTTTTAGAAAGTTTTATACCCAAATTAAATTATAATAAAAATCTAGAAAAATCTAAGTAGTGGAAAAAGGTTTTTAAGGGAGCTTTTCCAAGATGGCCACCATTACATTGCGTCACTGTAAGTAAATGGTGTCTTTTAATTTAGGTGGTATTTTGCTAAGATAAATGGGGGTTAATCCTTGAAATATACACAAAGTTGTAGATAAAGAATAATTTGTTGAAAAGTTAAGCTTATTTAATAGGAATTATTCACCAAAGGTCACTGGCTTGGGGTCAAAGGTCAGGCAAAGGTCATTTGTACAGATTTTTAACATGAAAATTTGCCTAAACGTTTACAATTAATGTTTTTAAAGATTGGTTATTGAAACTTTTGGTGTTAATTACAATTATTACATCACTCACAACAAATTTATGAAGTTTGGCTACAAAACATGTATTTTTAGTAGAAATATGAGACAAATTGTGAAAAATCAGATGGATAAAAATTATGTATAAGTGGATTGGGTTGTAATGAGGTATTTCAGAAAGCTTTATATCCAAATTTAAACATAATAAAAATCTAGAAAAATCTAAGTAGTGGAAAAAGGTTTGTAGGCAGCTTTTCCAAGATGGCCGTCATTATATTGCGTCATTGTAAGTAAATAATGTTGTTCAATCTAGATAGTATTGTGCTAGAAATAAATGGAGTTAAAACCTCTAAATACACACAAAGTTAAAACAAGGCAGCAAAGNCCAGAGTCTAATTAATTAAGTTCCTTCTTCATTTTATTTCTTTTTTTTTATAAAGAGAAACTCAAACTGTGAGCTTTCATCAAGTTCATGTGCACTTTCTCCTACTCGTGGTCGTGAACGGTACATGCAGATACGTACTAGTACATATGTTCCATAATTTAAGAACCCGTAATAAAGTTGTAACATTTATGTTGCTATTAATCAAAATGATAACTTTAGTACTGCTGACACTCGGCACACACTATTTTCCTCTCCTATAGATCATAAGTCTGCCAGGGCCTACCTGCTTTCCAAATGTTAATTGTGCATATATATAGATGTTTACATCTCTATTTGAGAAAGTGTCTATATAGGGGACGTACGGATAAAATTTAGTCCCAAAATATAACTCGTCCCTATACTCCCGTTACCGATAGATAAAAGGAAAAACTGAAAAAAAAAAAAAAACAACTTTTTAGATTTAAATACCGATAGATCCCATTTTTTACCACTGTCCTCTATATTTGGGTTCCTTAAGATACGACGTCCACATATACATATGGTATATATATATACATGTATTTATAAACCCACGTACTGTGCGAGCAAGGGTATAGCGAAAGCCAGGGGAAGATATACACAAATTATTGGCTGCAGTCCCCTCTCTTCTAACGGGCCCTTGTAAACAACATAGTTTGTTTGGAAATCAATTAATCAATAGCTTTTACATAATTTAAGTAATGTGTAGGTTGGGAGAATTTGAATTCTGATCATAGTATCTTCCCAGCAGGCAAATTGTTGTTTTAACGTTGAAACAACGTAGTACCAGTGCTACCAGTAGTATATGCAGTTATATACTTGTACTTTACACGGTTATCCTGCATAGAATTTTATACACCTGCTCAAAAAGCATTGTACGTCATTCTTCTCTTAAATTATCAGATAAAATTCAGGTGTTTAAACTGTGTTTGATTTATCCATTTTTTATTGGATTTCATCAATCCACTGTAATTTAATTCTCCTTGATTTCAGGTGTTATTTTAGAATGTTATCACGAACTGATGTACAAAGCATTTTGCCATTTACCAGTAGGAGATTAATCCCTGTGGTTGGCAAATAATTTTATATAAGATGGATGAAATTATAAATATATATATATTTTTTCATTATAGCAAGATATATTGCTTCCTAAATTAATATACCTCCGCCAAGGAGTTATGTTTCTTTTTTTTATGTATAGGTCTAGTTCAAACTTTTTTCTCTGGCTATTTTCACATCTCAGACAGTAATTTTTATCATCCGTCACAAATGAAGTTGACAACATAGCAAAAGTTGTCTTATTTTTCTCATTCTTAACGTACGTACTGTACAGTACATTACCTTGCAATCTCCCCTCTGTCACCGCCAAGCTCAAAGTGAAAATACACACCCAATATTTCCCGAGAAGCTTAGCTTGCATCAAGTGACCGATACTGAAACCGGAAATATTAGGAGAAACCGAAATAAAAAAAATGTTAAAGCGATACCAGCTCTTCGATCATTTTGGCGGGCAACGTGCCATAAAACATATTATCCAGGGGAAAACGACAATTTTGATGAGCGAATAATTTGGGCAAATAAAGTTGACAACATAGCAAAATATATCTTATTTTTCTCATTCTTAACGTACCTCGCTCCCCTCTGCTCAAAGTGAAAATACGACGCACCCAATTTTCCAAGAAGCTAGGCTTGCATCACGTGACCGATACCGAAACCGGAAAATATTTATTTGGAGAAACAATAGTAGCATTCGGGACTCCTCGACAATTTCCGGCTATCTTCCGAACGCCTTGAAAATGTGTCGTCCCAATGGAGCAGAGATTTAATGACTGTCCCCCCGCAGGGACGACGTGTGGGGAGGCGTGTGAGAGGCGGAGAGACTATTGACCCATTAGAGCCTGCGTCATCAAAACAAACGGCAGCCATTCTGGAGGGAGACCGGAATCGTCTGCTGCGCATGAACAAGCCATGTCTGTAGTTCAGTTTTCGTTTTCTGTATTTTCTTTGATATTTAACCGAGCAAAATGATGAATTACTGCAGGTTATTTGATCGAGAGAAGATAACTAACTTTACAAGCGTTCACAGGCTGCCTGCAGTGGTAACAATCCATGGTGAAGGAACTAAAACCATAAACGGAGGAGAGACGGCGAGGTGGCTTTGAATCAAGACTCTTCGGAAAAGTAAAGGATAAAACTAATTTATTTTATAGCAAAGAATGAAGAGCCAGCGGTGCAGATTTTACCATAAAAGAAAAAACAGTAGAAAACCAAAGACCTAGGTGTGTACATTTGGGGCGCACTTACACTACATATATATTTAAAGTAGTGCCCAAAAAGTTTGGGTGGAGAGTGTGTTAATTAGTTAAAACGTGTGGAAATACCCAGGCAGGGTTTCGACTTTTATAGTGAAGACTCACCTATTGCCTTGGGTGTAATTTGTTATCAGTTACGGTGCTCTCTAGATTTTATCGGCTGTCACCTACCTCTTTAATACCTGGTTAGCATTATTGCCAATTAGTGTCAAGGCTATATTTGTACTGTACACAGCTGAGCTGGGCCAATTAAATCAATTACCTGTATGAGTTGCATTTGGAAGTTAGTGGCTTAATTTTCGACTTGGTGTAGTGATAAGAGTAATTTTATTTTGCAAGTAAATTCTACCTCAGGTGTAATTGACATATAACCTCATGAAATGAATTTGCTTATACAGTATGAATGGTTGCATGGTGAATAATAAACTCTCTCAAACAACAGTCTTGTTACATGTACTTTCTAATGAACCAATATGAAGTACAAGAATGTTGAAATAATTTCTGACAGCCTCACGATGTAGAGATAAGTCATAACTGACAGCAATATTTCATGTCATACTTTATGACAATCCTGCATACATTCTTCCTTGAGTCCACAAGGGTTTATCCTGATGATCAGCTCAAATTTCTCCTTATATCTATCCTTTATGAAAAAAGTTGCTTCTATGTAAGGTTAAACTTATGATTACACATTAAACTCTCTCAAACTATAACTGTTATTACCCAATGAACAAGAAAAATGAAGTACAAGATAACTGAACTATCTTCTGACAACACGATGTTGGATAAGTAGCATTTGGTAGGATTTCATGTTTTTAGACTGTCTTGAGTTCATATTGGTCGATCCTGCTGAGCAGCTGAAGCTTCAGCTTGTATATATCCTTTTCCCTTTGGTGTACTTGATCGCGATATGAAGTTTATTTTATTTTATTTGGTTCACCTATATTACCGCTACTATTCCCCGTCGTTCATTCCCTCCAGCATGGCCGCGGGACTAGTGTTACGGAGCAAATATGACGTCACTGTAATGGGTTAAT